TTTTTTTTTTTTTTTTTGCAACATGCGAAAATCAATGAGCGCGTGGATGTCATCCATAAAATTAAGTCGGTGTGGCCTAAGGGTCAGTAGCACTGTTGTCGCCCTTTCGTCCGTCTTTCTGTCATTTGATGGAATTACACTGCTCATGATGGACAGAAACTTTGCCCAATTTGTCATATTGGCATGTACATATATTCAAAGAGATGGTATTAAACTATTAGCGTAGTCTACAGTGCAAAATTTAATGACACAGGTGAATTCTCAAACATTATGCTTTGTACATGTAGTATGATTTCTGTAATGTGCTTTTGGTGTTAACTTCAGATTGAAGATCCATGACATGCAAGTACATGTAGCTGTACAGTACAGTAGTACAGTTATTCAGTTGCTATACATGTATACTTTCACTGTTACTGTAAGACTTAGTTGTTCTTGTATTTTGTCATAAGCAGTGTGACTTAAGCTAGAAACTCCTACAAAATGGGCTTCTACTAGATAGAATGTAGGTAAGTTATTTTTCTCAGTGTCAAAAACGGAAGCTATTAGTATAGGGTAAATAGCTTAACAATTATCAAAGAAATGTAAAAACTATATGGAACACAGTCAACACACATCTGTACTATACCAAGTAAAGTAATGGTCAGATCTTTAAATCTGTTGTGTGCACATTTTACAAATATTTGTTGCAGCATAATTTTGAGCTCATAGTATGATTGAACAGGGTATTATATAATCAGCTATCAACTATCAAATGTTGAAGGGTAAAAATTTAAACTTGTTGAGGTGTAATCAAAGAAAATGTTAAATTGATGTGAAATGAGGATATGTTATTTCTTTAGCTTTATAACCAACTAAATATTCTATATACGCCCAATCCAAATTTACATTATGTATGCCACTGCAGTTTCTGACCATAGGTGTACTTTTTGTTCATTCCTCTGACAGAGTCCAACCATGATATTAAGTACTTACAGATAACATTAGTGTAATATGTTGCTGCAATTTTTTGTATATACGTTGCTTTCTTGTGGCTTAAAATTGTGTAGCTGGTCATTTTAGTTCGATGATGGTACATTTTCTGACAATCCCTTGAAATATTAAAGAAAATATTGCTATTATATAAAGAATTATTACGATTGTGTTTTGAGAAAAACTCCTCAGATTGGTACAAAATGTACATTGTACTAGTTGTGGTCAGAAAAATTTAAAAAAAATATTTAAAAAAATTAATGTATTTAGGAAGTAAAGAGCCAAAATTCCTTTTTTTTTGGTTATACATTGTACATGACGCTTGGCATATGTGTAATTCTAGAGTTCTAAGCTTATGATATTGTACCTTTGTTCATATCTATATAATTTGATGATTATGTATATTGAGGATTGTATACACAGAGTAAAATTCTTTGGTGGTGGGAGATTCTGATATATTTATAGCCTTTCCTCAGAAGTAGGGCAAGGAATTGATATGTGCAAAGATTATGGTCAATTAATGTGGTATTTGGTGAATAAACCAATTATGTATGTGCAATTGTGATGGAGTGTCAACTTGTACTGACTCATGACTCCATTTTTCTGCCGTTTTAGCTTTCATGCATCCAAAAAAAATGTTTATTAAAAATAAAACTCTCATACCTTGTATCTTGTACCTCCATTCTAAACAATTTCTTGAAATATTTTTGATATTTACTTTTCTGTAGAATGGTATATAACCTCTTTGTTGCTTCTAGGATTTTGATGGCATTCTATGGGAGACAAACTTGGTGTTGCCTAAGAGTACATAAGATGGCCCTCTCATTTTTTTTCATCACCTTGGAACTACTTTTCCTGCAATAATATTTTGGGTCACAAGATGGCGCTTTTGAACAACAGTATTAATCTCTGAATCACATTTTCTGAATGCCATGTAGAATAATGGATACAGTTGAGAATTTGGTGAGTTGACTGTGTTCAACTATCATACCAACACATGACTACATTTGTATAAAGTATAAAATGTACAACACAGGCAAACATGTTCCGATATTTATTCTCCTTTACATAAACAAAGTTGAACATTACACATGTATGTTGGGTTGCACAAAATCACACAAAAAATATCAAGGCATGCATCAATTGTGTACAGTAAAAAAAACTAGTTTTCAAATCAACAGTACAACCGTAATTTGAACCTTTTCCTTGCCGTTTAATACCAAAACCAATGCAAATTTGGTGCTTAAAGACTACCTTAAAGCCCGTCACGAATTTGGCCTCCTGAACACTAGCTGAACGCCCCCCAACCAAAGGAGTAGGTTGAAGTAAAGTTGGCTGGTGTTCGGCGAGGTAGGCTACTAGTCAGCAGTTTTTGGGGGGTGTGTTCGGGGGCAAATTTGACTAAAATTTAACTCAAATTCGTTTCGATTTGTACATAAAGGTAAGCGTGGTTAGACTGCTCCTAAACATCATTCTGAACGAGGTCTGCTGGTGTTCGGAGGCAAGGTTGGGGAAGGTCTTGAATGTATGACGGGCATTTGATCATGTATAAAAGGGAAACTTTGCATTCTCTAACACTTCCTATTTTCTTGGACAGTTGGATTGTCTAGTTTTCATCCTTATAGCACTGCATTGATACTGCAGGTAATATGTGAACCATATTTTTAGATCCATAGTCATTTTTACAATTTCTTGACAACGTGAAATAATTTCCCTAACCCTTACGAATGCCGTGTTTGAACAACCTTAAGTATGGAAAAGCTATCATACTACAAACATGTAATAAACATACAACATGGAAAAAATGGCACAGTACTGCACCTGTGGTAAAATCTACATGGTAAACTGAGAAAATTGCATCTTTCTGAGTCACAATCGGCGTCACACATATTTAACATATATCTCCCCATTCCTAGGATGACATCTTTCACAATTTGGGAATTCTGTTCTGACTTACATGAACTACGGAATGTTCTTGATATCAAATGGAAAATGAAATAAAAACTACCGACCAATATCGCATAACAGACTGCAGTCATCTCAGATTTCTCACGGTGGACTTCTCAATTCTATAACTGTTGAATTTGATGTTTGACAAAGGAAAAAGATATAAAATCTAACTTCAATACAGCAAACTTTTTCAAAACTGCATGAACAACATGCATGTACATACAGTAAGACTTAGTAACAATAAATACATGTATATCTCTGAATTTTGATCTTTATAATGTTTGAGTGTTTTAAAAATCAGTCATTGCACAATGTAGGTTCTTGTTCACAAACTGTGGTCTTTTGAAAAGGTAACTATATTAAAGGTCTTTGAAACATGCATCCAGAGGACACCTTCCGAAAAGAAGATATAAAATGCATACATGTATGGGAGCACTAAAATAAAAGAGTGCATGTAGAGAAGTTTCTGTATATTGTATTTATGGTATTCTATAATACACTAAACAAGTCTGGATTATCTTCAAAATGCTGCCTTCCTTCTACATTTTCTTATGATAATTTTCTTTTCCACTGCATTGTACCTTCCAACCAAACATACTAGATAATACATACATGTACTAGTATACGTGTAACAAAAAAACTGGTTGTACATTCAATATTGCACCATATACACGTATGTGTATAATAGATTAACATCACCAAATTACTTAAAAATTTAATCTCTTAGCAGACTAGAATCATGTTTTTATCTCACAATATACAGATCATATTACATGTACATGTATGACTAAAATTCCAGCTTTTAAAAGGGCTAGGATATGTACAACTACTACTAAGTATTTGCATGACTATCAACAAATGCACAAATGATTGCTGGCTAATATATAATTATAATGTCTACTTGTTCAGCCTTTCACACACACAAAAAAACAGTGCAGTTTCTACTGATAATCTTTCATTATCACAAAAGGAAATAATACCCCCATGACATTTATGCAATTCCATAATTGTTCTTGCTGATTGGTTACTTGTTGTTAAGTTGGACTGCTCTACTTGTTACATAGGGGTGTTCACATGTAGTTGTTCCTCTAATTCATTTCTTCTTTACATTCCAGTTCCCAAGTCTGTCATGTCAGGTTGTCTGGAAAAAGTAAGGGGAAAAAACACATCAGAAAAACTTGTTTGACCACCAACAAGAATTTGGTCGTTCTTTTACATTTGTATTCACATTTACATGTTGCCTGCATGTGAATGTGGTGCTTGCTTCTGCTTCAATAACATTCATCTACAAACAACTAAAATCAACAGAGCTCAAAATCGGATCAAAATGGAATAATTATCATAGAATTATATACAGTCATGTAGCTATGATAGCATATACGTAGTATTAGTTATACATTGCACTGAGACTCTAAAACTTGAATATCTTTGGTCACAAAAGTCTATAGTATGATTGAAGTTGAACAAATTTAAACATACATTTGACTATATTGATCAAGATTGGGGGAAAGTTTAGCAAAGCAAAGGTACTGGTTACTTTTTAGGACATGAGGTTTTTTAATTACGGGAAAAGCAGTTAGAGTAAAGCTAGCACCTTATCCCGAGTTGCAGGTTCAAGGAATTATCATATAATAATTTACCACTCATTCATTGGTAAATGCTGCAGCGGAAAATCCCACAGGGTCTTCCTGGGTACTAAACATGGTGGACAACAATCAACAATGTCAAATTATCATGATTCATTCTTTGGTCTGAAAATTACCACTGTTTTCAGCCACTGAGAGTGGCTAGGACAGGTATGGAAGGTGCTGTATTTCTGATTAAAGACCCTTGTCATACTCATTTTTTGAGAACAGAGCTGTGTACCTATTGTCAACAAATTTTAGGTACAGGTACAGGTACATGGGTTTAAGCACAGGTCTAACTTCTTCAATAACAGAAGTTTATGAATTTTAGGCCAATAATAAGCATATAATTTCACGTACATGTACAATGTAGGTACAGTACCCGTCCGGTACTTAATGATTAGGTATTTTGGACCTGTACCTGATAAATTTTGTGGTACAGTACCAGTAATGTGTATCGGTACACAGCTCTAATTGGGAAGAATAAAAGATCAAGTAGTAATACTTTATTTGTGATTGTTTCATGCTGTCATTGGCTTGGACAGTTGGAAAATAAAACAGGAATACCAGATGTCATTGTCTCTCTGCAGCAGAAATGGTACCTAATCGTTGTTGGGCTACAAGTTTGGCCAGTTCACCATCCTCACTGAAATAACACTGTTTATTCAATACTTTCAAAGAAGCAACAAGTTTTTTTCACCAAGTAAACAAAAATAACATTTTTCCAGATTTCATTTAGATCATTGTACTCATTTAGTAATAATCTGACTTTTTACAATTATTTAAGATATTCTTTTACATTGTATTATGAACGAGTGATCAAAAATAAATTTAAAGAATTGCATTACAAATCCCTGTCATGCTAATCACTCATGATTGTTTTGAATTAATTTTCACAGTCCATTGCAGCAAACGATGTAATTAAATCACTTTTAATCACCTCTGAAGTCAATAACTTCATAATATGATTAACCTGAGATTATACTTATAGCTGACTCTACCAAATTCAGCCACTCGATTAAAGACTATGAAACCCAGGGCTTGAAATACTGGGTACATGTGCACCTTAGTGCACCCAAAATTGGAGCTGTGCACCCATTTTTTTTCTGTGGGTGCACTGGTGCACCCAACTAACTTGCAGATATTTTTTACATATCAAATGTATAATAGTATACAGAATAATCTTGGCATCTACATGTTTGTGTCAGAAAAATAGTACAATCTTTCTTGTAGTACTTGTTTGAGATTTTGAAGTTAGCTCCCATTTCAAATTCAAGCTCAGAAGAGAAGCAGTAAGATTTCTAATTATGTTTTGTTTTATATGGTGCACCCAAAACATTTTTTGTGCACCTAATTTTTTAGGTTAAGTGCACCAGTGTATAGCTACTCCCAAAAATGAATTTCGAGCCCTGAAACCAGTAACACATTTGGACCAAAACTACACTCTGAGGTTAGGGAAACATTGAATCTTGCAAAATCATTCTGAGGCTTCCACCAGTTAATTGAATTACTATAATTAGATTCCAGCAATGACGTCACAGTGAACATGATATCCAATTCAGAACCTGGCACCAAGGTTCGTAAACAAACATTCCTTCCAGTCCAGCAAACAATACATAATTATTGTGACTATGTACATGTTGTACAACTGCAAATTATAAAATGTTTGCTTCTCAAATGAACGTTTTCTAAATGTCTTTGTTCATTGAATAATAACTTTGTCCTATCACGTTTGACTATTTTTGGGAACTTGTATTTTAGTGTTATCGGTATCATAATATGGTTTTACTCTCAATATCTAAATTCCTCTTAGATGTAAGTTAATCTAACTACTGCTTCCTAGATACAAAATTAGAGAATAACATGTAGGTTTTGGGTAGGAAGGGGTGAAGCAGGGTTTCCTCTGTGGCACATGCATATGTGTTAGTTCAGTGTGTGGCCACCTGACTTGTTATTGGGTTCTGTGTAACTTTAAAGTTTGAGCTACCAAGACATTCAGCTAGATCGTCATAGTACTTTTAGTTATTCATTAAACTTGCTATACATTTACAAGGGTTATACAAAATGATTGCCACTAAAGGGAGAAAGACAAAATTTCTGATTGGTAGTTGAAAAATGCTACTTTTTCCCTTCATGTATATCTGCTGCCAATGGTTGGGCTTAGGCCTAGTCAAATTAATGTTGTGCTTTCTGGTTTCAGTCCTGAAAAAACTGGGGTCAGTTGGTAGGGATTTTGTTCTTTTTTTTTTTTAAATAATTTTTTTTTTTTAGTTATTTCGTAATAAAATAATTCCTAC